AATTGATATTTTGATTTACATTTTATAATAACATATTTATTATTTACAAAAATAAAAATATTGTTTATTAAACATTTCAAAATTTAATATTTGGTTGACTTTTTTTTGTTAATTGAAAAGTAAAAATATTAAAATGAAAAATAATTAATATAGTAATTAAAATATAGTAGCATTTGTTTGTATCTTGGAATTAAATAGAATAAATATAATAATGGTTTTATACATGCGTTAATTTGTAAAGATCTATATAATATGAGTCTTAGACTCCTTATTAATGGATTATCAACAAAGTTGTATGATATCTGTGCATCCCATAATATTAATTGTAATACATTCCTTTATCTATATCATTAAAATATACATTTCTTATTTTTTATATCTTATTTGTAGCTATTTTGACCTTAAAGCTAGTGTAGTTGATGTATTTACGAAATTTATATCTATTTTCTTAGTGTATCCATGTGTTTTCATATCTTTCGTTTGTATCTATGTGTTTCCAAAGTGTATCCGTATCCGTATCCAAGTTGTCCGATACGATACCCGATACCGATACCTTGATCCTTGGTCATGGGTATTTTGATATATGTCACATACTTATTGAATAGTCTTCATTCCTTACGTAATATGTTCTTATTTTATTGAATAGTATTTTGTTCTCTAGCTGAACCGAAGGTTTTCTCCTCTAGTTCTAACTTTCTCTTCTCTTCCTCTTCTTCTCCTTGTTGTCTTTATCTCTTACCCTAGCACTAAAACCAGTGCAGGTCGAACCAAGAACTTGGTATCAGAGCACTGGTAGTCAACCCAGAATTTTTTCACCACTTCTCAGCATACTATTTCAAAGAGAACTCATCACCCACTTGGAGGATCAAGGAGACACCAAAAAGGAGTGGTCGCTTTTCCGTTTAGTAGGTATTCATGCCTCTCCAATGGGTTCTGAAGAGGCTGTTTCAGTGGGTTTCTAGAAGCCCTATAATCAATGACTCAAAGAAGGCTTTGTAGTGGACTCTTCAGTGCCGGCAATGATGATGCCAAAAAACAAAGAAAGAAAGAAAGAAAAGGAAAAAAAATAAAAAAAAAAGAGAAAAAATGTGAACGTATTTTGCATTTCCATCTTTTTGTAATAGGATCCCAAATTTTTGTTTAGGGTCATGGTTTAAAATGTCGATGTCGGTGAAAATGTTGGTCATCCAAATATAAGAAACATGTCAAAAATGTCAGAAATATCATATAGAAATATTTTAACATGGTGGAAACATTTTAAAATATGCAAAATACAGAAAGGTATTTTATGAAATGATAAAAGAAGCATGGGCACACCTTTTTTAAATTATTATGTTATTGCAAATCATTAAACAAATCTAAGAAACTAAGGTTATAGACAAAACAATACGTTCTAAAGTTGCCCTGTGAACTTTAAGATTCAGAGCTTCATGATAAAATGAGTTAAAGCAAANAACTTTAAGATTCAGAGCTTCATGATAAAATGAGTTAAAGCAAAATTTTAACTCATAGAAACTGCAAATGTTTGTAATAGATCAACCAAATAATCTATTACACAAACAAAAAACTAATATTAAACTTCATGTTTGAAATGAATATTGAGCTAGCTCAAAATGGTAATCATGTAAGTTAGGCAAACAATAAAACTGTTACTTAACATATTTACAATATTGTACCAACTTATGTTATAATACTATCTCTTGAACTCCACATAGTACTATTAGTGTTTTTTTTTTTTGATAAATAACAGAGACTTTTATTAAAAGATAATAATAGAAAAGGTACAAAAGGAGGGGTAAAAATTCTTAACCCTCCCAAGAAAGCAATTCAGATTACAATGTTACCCAGAAGAAATTAACTCTTCCCACCCCTTGTTTGGCCAATGAATCTGCCAAGGAGTTGGCGCACCTCTTTATCCATTGAAACTTGACTTCCATATTTTGGGTGAGATGCCTAACTTTCTTTTTTTCATTAAGAAACTTCCACAAACTAGAAGTATCCTTCATCAACCAATTCATAGCCAACTTAGAGTCACCTTCCACTATCAATTTTCTGATATTTAACTCTTGCGCTCTTTTTAACCCTTCCAAGACAGCCAATATTTCATCTCTAAGAGAGTCCTCCCATCCAATAGAACCAGAATACAATGCAATAATTCGACCTTCATCATCTCTGAAGGCTCCCCCTATACCCGATAGACCTGGATTTCCTTCACTACTACCATCAAAGTTTAGTTTAGTGAAACCTGAAACTGGAGGGGACCAAATTGGGTGGGATACATTCTTTCTTGGAGCTGACCAAGCCACTTCTTTCCACTTCCTGATGATGTCTCCTTCTGAATAATTTTCGAAACTTTGCAAAGTCTTAACCCAATGGATCACCCTTATAGAAATCAGTTCAATGATTACACCCTTATTTCTTTCTTTCCCATGAAAGGTTCGTTGATTCCTTTCCTCCCAGACTGTCCAACATACAGCTGCTTTTACACACCTCCACAGAATTTTTCATCTCTTCTTCAGCCCCCTAACAGTAGTAGAATGAAATAGGCTTTGAACATTTGGGGGAGGGGTCCACCTGCCACCAAAAAGAGAGAAAAAACAAATGAGCAAGAAACCAATAAGCGATAGCAAGTCTCACCATTCTTCTTACAAAGGATGCACCAGTGTGGGGATAAACACCAATTAGGACTTTTTCTTTGGAGTAAATCGCAAGTGTTACACTTTTCAAGGAAAACTTCCCAACAAAAAACACTAATTCTGGGAGGAATTGGTCTACCCCAGACTTCCAAAACTGGAAAAGGGATTCCAAAGACAGGAGGGGAATGAGCCAGTTCCTTGAAGAAAGAGGAGCAAGAGAAGATACCCGAAGGAGGGAGCCCAAATCCTACTATCCCTCCTAAGGGGGTCAATAACCACCCCCTCAAGGATATTTAGCAGGTTAGCAATGAGGTTCAGTTCCGGTTCTCTAAGGGCCCTTCTAAAACCCAAATTTCAATCAATGGTTGAATTAGAGGTGATCAAAACAGTGGAGACCGGCTCATTTTTAAACCATGATAAAGAATACAAGGAAGAGAAAAGTTCTTTCAGCGGAGTGCTTCCCACCCAAACATGATCCCAAAATTTCACGCAGTTACCGGAGCACATATCATACCTGATTAGAGGAAGAAAAGAAGGAAGTATGGCATGAATTGATTTCCAAGGAGAAGCCCTCATAGCCCTAGTTGAAACTCCAGAGTCCCAGGCATCCGCCGCTTGCCCATGAATACTTAAGACAACTTGAGCCCATAATTTATCCCTTTCCAAAGTCAATCTCCAAAGCCATTTCCCCAGCAGAGCTTCATTCATTTTTTGCAAATTGCCTAAAGCAAGCCCACCATCACTTTTGGTTTTGGTAACTATATCCCACATGACCCTATGATCTTTTTTCTCCTCTCCTAGTTCTCATAAGAAGTCTCTCATCAACTTTTCCAAAATTCCACAAATTCCTTTGGGCATTTTAAACATCGAAAAAAACTCTTAGTGTTCACTAAGAAATATGTTGATTCCAGTAAAATTTCATGACACTACCCATGGAAGTGGAAATGAAAATATGTTGTGGAAACTATTTGTTGTACTCCACATAGTGCTTGTAGTGTTCATTGGGGAAATGTCAACTCCAGGAAAATTTCATGTCGCTAGCCATGGAAATGGAAATATGTCGTGGAAATATTAGGGAAATTAGGGACATTTTAAACCATGTTTTGGGTTAGCTTTGTTGACAGTTTGGGTCCAAGGGAATTTTCGTCATCCTAAAAATTCAGATTCTGGTCAGGGACAATTGTACACATCAGTTGGGATTTGGTCTCTTAGGGCTTTTTGTAACAAAAATCTTTTTGGGGTTTGTTTGAAGTTATTTTGTTCTTAAGGAGTTGTTTGTGAATGGGAAACATTCTAGGGGCTTATCAGTGTTTTAAAAGCGCAAGGCGCAAAAAAAGTGCAAAGGCCAATTTGTGCCTGAGGCGCAAGGTGCGCGCCTTTTTAAGAAAGGGGCAAAATTACAAAAAAAAAAGCTAAAAAATAAAAAAAAAAATCAAAATAATGCCAATTTTTTTTTAAATGCAAAAAATTCAAAAAATATTAAACATAATGTTAATAAAAAATATAAACATAAATTTTAAAATAATGCATAACATGTAAAGTGTATTCTCCATTTTATGAAAGATAGACGTGAATTATTCTCCATTTTCCAAAAATTTCATGCTAAAATCTGCACTTAGTTTGGTGTTCACATAAAGATTCTATGTTCTGGAAATGGCTGAAATTATTTCTATACACCTTTTCAGCAATATTTGGAACAAAATGGGGTGATTGAATGAAAGAACCACCATCTACTTGACATTGCTCGATCATTTCGAATTATGTGTTCCCAATCGATTTTGGAGTGATGTTTACTTACACCACATTTCCTTATTAATTATATGTCCATGTTTACCCTTGAAGGTCATTCTCCCTTCTTCGTTTTGTTTTCGACTTTATCTCCATTTCCGCTCACTCCCAAGGTTTTTGGTTGTATTTTGTTCATAATCTAGGGCCTGGAATGGACAAGTTCAATGCACGCTCTACAAAGTGTACTTTTCATGGCTATTATAAGACCCAAAAAGGGTATAAGTGCTATAATCCCATTTCCTAGCATTCATTTCCTTATCTTGATGTTACTTTCTTTGAATCTATTCCTTTCTTCAATAGGTCTGATGTTTCCTCCTCATCTCATATTTCCACTTGCAGTTCCAATTGATGACCCCATTCCTATTGTTCCAGTTGTGACCAAGACCCCCTCACCTCTAGTGCAAGTTAATACTGAACAACCACCAATCAAGCAAATGTATACTCATCGACAACTACTAGCTCCACCAGTTTCTTCTCCATCAGCAAATCCAGCAGTTGTTTCTAAACTCATATAGCCTCCTCCTTCTGACCTTGACCTTCCCATTACTTTGCGAAAAGGTAAACATAATTGCAACCTTCATCCTATTTCTATGTTTTTGTTTCTCATCTTTCTGCTTTCCATTGCTAAATCATTTTTCTCTTTTGTCCTCTATGTCTATTAATAAGAATGTCCAGGAAGCCCATACCCCCCCAGGCTAGCGCCAAGCAATGGAAGAGCTCTCTACTCTTGCTCATAATCACGTGGGAGCTTACCACTCTCTCCTGTTAAGCATGTTGTAGGTTGTAAGTGGGTGTACACTGTCAAATACTTACTAGATAGCAGTATAAAGTAGTTGAAGGCTCGATTAGTTGCAAAGGGTTACTCACAAATGTATAGAGTAGATTATATAGAGACCTCTCCTATTGCCAAAATTGGCTCAATTCGTGTTTTGATATCTTTAGCAACTATGTATGACCAGCCCCTGTTCCAACTTGACATCAAGAATGCCTTCATACATGGTGATCTTCTTAAGGAGGTTTAAATGGAGTAACCACCAAGGGTTGTTACTCAGGGGAGGATGGTAAGGTGTGTTGACTCAAGAAGACAATTTATGGGTTGAAACAGTCTTTGCATGTTTGGCTTGGTAGATTCAGTGAGGTGTAAAAGATTTTGGCATGAGACAATGTCAAGTTGATAATTCAGTATTTAGCTATGATTTTGAAGCTAGAAAGACTTTGTTGGTGGTATATGTAGCTGACATTGTTATAATTGGTAGCGACAAGTTGTTATAATTTAGCTATGATCTTGGTAAACTAAAGTATTTTTTGGAAATAGAAATACTTGTGCCAAAGCATGGTATCAATTTGTGCCAAAGCATGTTCTTGACTTGCTAGAGGAGACAAGATTGTTGGGTGCCAACCTAGCTAGAACACCCATGGAGCCAAATGTCAAATTAAGTACAAATGCAAGTAAAGAATCCGAGGATCCTAGGAGGCAGAAAAAGTTAGTGGGTAAGTTAAACTATATGACTATTACTAGGCCAGACATATCATTTGTAGTTAGAGTAGTAAGTTAGTTTATGCAGAATCCATAGGTTCCACATTTGGAAGCAGTTCTAAGAATTGTGTGATATTTGAAGGGAGCTCCAAGTCATGGTTTGTTATACAAGACTGGAGATAGTCTTGTCAACGTCTATAAAAGATCCACTACAAGGTATTATACTTTTCTTGGAGGGAATTTGGTGACATGGAAGAGCAAAAATCAGACTATAGTACCAAGGAGTAGTGCTGAAGCTGAATATAGAGCCATGGCACACAATGCAAACTAGTGTGGTTGAGGAATCTCCTACAGGAGATTGGGTACTCAATTGACAACCCTATGAAGTTGTATTGTGACAACTAAGTTGCATCTCATCTAATCTACTTTTTCACAAGAAAACAAAGCACATAGAGGTTGAAGTTGGGGAAGACTGGATTACATATGTAACAAGTTGGGTCTATGTGACATATACTCACCAGCTACAGAGGAAGTGTTAGAGTTGGTAGTCAGGGGTATTTTGGTCTTTATAACTTGTCTTATTGAATGTTCTATCCATTATGTCTCAGTTTGAGTAATATGTCCCATACTTAATTAGGAGCATAAGTGTCTTTCTGTTTCTATTACAAACATATAAATAAGATTTGGTCGGCTAGGGAGAGAGATTGAATTCTCTCTAGCTGAACCAAAGTTTTTCTCCTCTACTTCTCTCTTCATCTTCTCTTCCTTTTCTTCTCCTTCTGTTATCTTTCCCTCTTATCCTAGGACTGAAAAGTGCAGATTGAACCAAGAACACTACGCAGATTGTAAGATAAGAACTATTAAGAATGAAATAGAAAAATATAGGAATGCAATATAACCAACAGAATAAATAAGTAAATTTGGAAATTTAAGAACAAAAACAAACTCTTCAGGACATTGATTAATGCAATCAAGTATAAGCATAGCAATGCCCTCTACTCCACTTGACTTCCATTGTCAAAGAGAAATAACGAAGCTATTAAAAAGTGGAAAAATTTTTATTTATCAAACATAAAAAATGACAGCAATAAAAGGTTAACAAAGTCCTATTAAATGTGAAATAAAAGTCATGTATTACCTGGATAATTATTGCTGCTTTTGTCTGCCTCCTGAAGCAAAGTTCATTACGAGCAGCCATCCTACGCATACCTGTTTGAATAGAAACAGCTGAAGAGCACAACTTTTTATAGGCTTTCCTAGCAAGATACATGCGCAAGTATTTCTGGATCCGCACACAGGCAGCTTCTTTCCGCATGCTCTCATACAGTTGTCGAGCAATTTGTCCTGTATCAGAATACAAGCAAGGTAAAAGTAGTTTAATTTCCTTTGTATAAAATAATTGCAAGCTTGGCTCTCAGGTTATAAAAATGACATGAAAAAGGAAACAAAGGTGAATAAGTCTCTTAATTTATGAATGATAATGTTTCATTGTCTTCGTTTGAATGATGATGTTTAATCGTCTTTTTTTCAATAATGTACTTAATATCAGTTTAAACTTTTCAGCTGGAAGTAACTTTTTACTTTTAATGATGGAAAAACAGAGGAAATAGTGGAGAGTGAGATTAAGCAAAACTGGCCCCATTTTCTCCAAAAGAAAACATTTATGTTCTTCCCCTCTATTTTCTTTTTCTCTTTTTCTTGTTTTCTGTTCCCCCTTTTTCTTTGCAACCAAAAACAGTATCACCAAATTAATTCTTTTCATTGATAAGCAAAAAATTATATAGTACAATACCTCTGCATGCAGTTTGGATCTGTATAGCAGATAACCGCAATAATATAAAGTTTTTCCGAGCCAAGTATGTGCGGGCTCTCCTCTGGATAAGGCTCGCTGATCTTCCTAAAACTTCAATCCTGAGAGCATCGAGTTCTGCCATCTGGCCAGCCCTAAGAAATACCTTTGTCTTTCCAATCTGCATGATAAATTGAATTAGTTAGATATCCCTACAACATATGCCAGAAATGTTCTGGTGGAGAAGAAAAGCAGACTCAGTAGCTCCCAACATAGCAAAGTATCTCCTAGCTACAGATGTATCTCCTAGCAACACTGATAATGATATCAGGTCCTGCATATGATCAATTACTGAAACCTGACTGCTTATGTCGTTACCGATATCCACTATTATATCTTTATTAAATTCAATTTGAAAATAAGCGTTCACTAGATTACCAAGAGTGATTAATAATAATTAGGAAGTCTAGTTCACATAAGATAATTTGAGAAATAATACCTATCACTTGCTTAAGTGGTGCTTGTCCCCTTATTGGTGTGTTCTGTATAATGCCAATGGAGAGACCCGGTACCACTTACTAATAACCTATCCATTTATTGCATGATGTATTTGGAAGTGGTAATCTCAGTTTGGGTGCAAATGGAATCTTCTGATTGATGTGTCAAGCTTGTTTGCCTCAATAACTTTCTTGTGGCCAAAGAAACATGGACGAATCACGTGGAGATGTACTAGAGCTGCACTAATTTCGACGATTTGGGAGAAAGTACTTCAACAATATTCTTAGAAAAGTAAGGAAGCCACAATTGAATGTCTCACTTCAAGGGTAGCCCACGGCTGAAATCTATTGAGAAGCTCTCAGAATTTTCAGTGGGTGATATCAAAAGAAATTGGAGGGAAGTGGAGAGAACATCCATAAATAAGAATGTCACTTATCACCAGAAAGAGGATAAGCTAAGCTGAATTTTTATCGTAGCAGCATGGGGAACCTTGGGTGACCAAAGTAATGGAAGTGAGATTTCAATGGGATAAAAGGACTGCTAACAATATGGCTGATACACTTGCTAAAAGATGGATGGGGAGAGAGCAACTTTTTTGGGAACAATTGTAAGAAAAATAGGGAATGGGGAGAGATAAAAGGTTTTATATCTTCTCGATTGATTATAAGTTGTTTGTATTTGTATACTCTTTTCATTCGTAAAACACATGGTTAAAGACAAAAAAAAAAAAAAAAAAATCTTTCCCATTGATTAATACAATTTACCTGATAACCTTGTAGATTTGTCTTCTCCAGTAACTTCTTTGAAGCTGTAGCCCCATCACTACTCCCATAATAACGATTAGCCAAAATAGAAGAGGAAAAAATGTCAACCTTCCAATTATAGAGATATATAATCATTAATAGAAGTATTAGTCATACAACGTAGGCATGGCAGGGTGGAGAATTTTTTTTTCATTTCTATTCTTTTTTGTTTCTTTTTTTGGTGGGAGATAAGGAGGAAAAGCTACCTTCCATCCAGAACGCATGGTGCGAGAATGCTAAACCGCTCTAAGAATTCAGAAAATGTTCTTCTTGTAGGATATCCTGCACAACTTATCCTAATTGCTTCCATGACTCCCTGATATTTAAAAAAAAGTCCAGCATATGGATATTAACAGACAAAAATTTCTAGTGACACTAAAACAAAGAACAAAAATAAATAAATAAATAATTCTTACCCCACATCGAAGCTGCTGTAGAATATTGTTGTTATCAAATATAGATGGCTTAAGAAGATTATTCGGCTTCACACAACGAATGTAGTGTGGATCAGTGGCATTCAGAGTTTCAAGCAAAGATTGTAGTTGTTGCTGCACAGGTGCATTAAAGCACTTCATAAATCAAGAACCTCTGGATAGAAGCAAAAATATCAAACAAACAAAACACCACACCTTAAATCGTGAGCCTATTGATGAGAACTTTGAAGTTTTAGATGACTCCTCAGGCAATGGTGGGAACAAACTGGAGACAAAGGAACACTTTGAAGCACTTAAGACTGCTTGATGCTCAGCAACAACATAGTCTTTGTTCTTGTCCAAGAACAACTCGGTTTGATAAGTAACCTGAAAAACCAAAATTTGTGGTTAACCAATTTCTTATGTGAAATTAGATTAATAGAACATTGATGTTTCATTCATTGTTCACGATATCAACAATATTGGTGAAATGTCCCCATTTTGCTAGGACACAATACAAAATTTTCCAGGAACCTTTTTCTTTTCAAATATCTCCAAAATTTTGCCAATATGTCAGTGATATTTCAGATCTCATTGATAGATAATATATTTAATATTTAAAATTCTAGAAAATTATTAAAAAACTTTAATATTTTGTTAAAATCATTGTCTTATTAAAAATATTTTCCTAAAAGAACCATAGAGAATTGGTGATTGGATAATTGGCCTACCATTTTGATATTATTCACTAAGTCACTATAATTCAAAAGAAAAACAGAAATGCATATAACTAGAAAAGAGTATTCTGAAATTAATCAAAACATATAGTAACAAAAAAGAAAAAGTGAAAATGGCAAGTATTGAAATATTTAATGAAGAGAAGACGGCCAAAAGACTAAAAAAGAGACAAAGAGAAAAATACTAATAAGGCCTCTCAATTTCCCCAATTTGATTTATAAAGTTCTTTACTATGGTTTTTTGAACCTTATGCAAGTATATTTATTCTAATGATTCCTTGGAGGTTTAATAATCAATTCCATGTTTCTAAAAGTCTTTCCAATTTTTTAAATTTTCCAAACATCTTAGCGAGACTAGCGAAATATCTCCAAAATTTCTCCATCTCTAATGGTGAAATTTCCATTGATATCGAAAGTAAAAACCATGGCTTCATTAAAGCACAAGGCTCCTTTTGGTTTGTGAGATGTCATGAAATGGAATGGGAAAATGGTGGATTTCGAGATCTCAATTTTTGGGATGTGGAATCCCACCATTTTGGTGGGAAACAAGTCAGAAAGGAGGGGCAAAGTTGTTTAACAAAAAAAACACCTCCCTTGTAGAAATTTTGAGAGTTAATATAATAATAGACCCATGGCCCATTTATAAATTATTATTTATTTAATAACAGTTTAATAAAACAATTTAATTAAAACTAATAAATAAGCTAAAAAATAATAAATATAATATTAATCAATTAAAACTAACTTAAAATTACTCATTAATTAATAATGAAATATTAAAATTATTAATTAAGTCATAAGTATTAATAAAATAAAATATCAACTAATAAAAATTAAAATATTCATTAATGTCCAGAGTTAATTAACTAATTATTAATATTAATTAACTAACAATTAATAATAAAATACAAAATACCAAAAAATTATTTATAAATTAATGGTTATTTAATAATTAACAACAAAAATAGTTAAATCAAAATAAATGTTAATTAATTAAAAGTAATTGATAATTCAAGAAAATAGATATTAGTTAATAATAAATATTAAAATATTAAAATATTAGTTTTAAATAATTAATACTAATAAAATATAAAATAAGAAAAATTTACTAATTAACTAATTAATTAATTAATAATTGTTATTGGGGTTGATTTTCCCACTACTTTTGCTTTTGCAACCAAACAATGGAACATGAAAAATTTCCACCCATTCTCTTTCTCATCCTATTCCATCCCATCCTTTCCCATCACACCAAAATCTTTCCTCGAACCAAACACAGCCTAAGAGAGTTGTGCCTCCATGCAAGCCTAAAGGAAAAAATGCTTCATATTGTTTACCCGGAAAGGCAGATTCCCCACACCTCGAGTTACCTCATGTGTGTTTGTATTCTTTTGTTTTTTTTTTTCTTTTTTGAATGAAAGTAAGGTAAAATTAAATTTAAAAACCAAAAGAAGGTATACAAGGTGTATATAGTAGAGACCCACAAAAGAACCAACCCAAGGAAATTACGCGGCTAAGCGTAGCTCCTAGCCCAAAAGCCAAAGGACAGCAAGGACGCAAACTAGGCCAATGCCCCAATACAAATACCACTAGAGCAAAAGCCACAACCAAACCCAGGTAAACAGCACAAAGCATAAAGGCAACAAAACCGAAAAATGGACCACCCAATTAACTACACACAGAAGATCTACCCCTCCCTCTTCGACCTCTCCCTCTAGTGTTTGTATTCTTTTGTTGCATGGTTATTGTTGGAGTCTTATCACACAACTCTTCCCCTGGATTGTGCTTTTTTATTTTGATGAAGTTATGCCTTGCAATTGGTATTAACAAAATGTATGTATTTCATATATAGTTTTAAATTTGTGCTTGTATCTATGCTTCAACATAAATGAGGTATGTTTTATACATATAAAACTTTTAATAGTTATCAAGCTCTTAATATCCTCAAATTTCCTGTTTACGTGCTCAGCTATTCGCTTATATGCTCTTCCCCTAGAAAATATGCTCCTGATGTACACACTTTTTTCCTTCCAGTTTTCTTTTTCTTTTCTTGAAAAAAAAATGACACATGAAGTTTAAACCTCACACCTTGGGGCTTACACCTCTCACATGTAAAGACCCTGGCGCCTCACTTTGCGCCTCTGCATTTTTAAACAGTGTTATCAACTTAAAAGGGATACTATGAACAGATGTATGTTACTTACATCACCTGCGTAATGCGAAATGGTGAAGTCAGTACGTGACAACTTTGGCTTGCTGAAGCGCTTATGTTTTTGAAATGTCTGATACAGCTTTTGAGCAAACGTCTCATGTGTTGATCTTGGAAACATGCTACAAAACAAAATCCCCAGCTATCTCACCATCTCAAACAAGCAACTCTAAAAATATTTATCCATTAAATGATATGAAAAACATGTTCCCTTAATGAAATAGGAGTGGTAAAAGCACAACTTATAATATTCTTATTCATACCAAGCTTCATCCAGAAGAGCAATGATCCCACCAGGTTTCTGGAAGTTGTAAGTGTAAAAAATGTAAGATTAAAATGTTTCGCAGAATACATAAAAAATATTGACAGGAGATAGAACTGATATTAGTGGAAGGGGATATGCATAATAAAGAGTCAATAACTGTTCCTGAATCACCATGATGAAAGTGATGTGATAACCTATATCAAAACAATTAATTTAAGTTAGACAAATTAAGCATAAAGAAAAGTCTTAGCCAGGGATGAAAAAACAAACCTTTTCAATAAGATCTAGAACATCTTGGTTATCGATGAATTCTATGTAACTCCAATCAATTTCTTCTTTTGTGTATTCCTCTTGCTCCATTTTAAAAACATGCTGCTTGTCAATAAAATAATGAATAACACAAATGAACAAATACATACATCTAAATCAGAATTTTCAAGGAAAAACAAAGAACCAGAAGAGATGCAATTCCAAAACCTGATTGAAATGTTGCTGCAGTTTCTCATTTGTCAAATTGATACAGAATTGCTCAAAGCTGCCAAAAGAAAAACATTCAATATATGGCACTCAAACAATAGAATATGCCACAACTTTTCCATTAATAGAAACAGCAATCAAAACAATCCATTATATGATGGAAGGGGAAAACCTGCACTCTATGCTGACCTAAAAAGATCAAAGAAAAGGAAAGAAAAAGAGAGGGAAAAGAGAAGAGAAGAGAAGAAAGATAGGAAGCAAAGAGAGAGAAGAAAAGGGAGAACAGTCAAGAGAAGTCGAACTCACTCCCCTCACTGTCAACCCAGTATGTATTATTATTCATTAATGGATGAAATCACAACTGTAGAGAAGATGGGTCGAATGGCCCATAGGCTGTTTATTCTTTCTTGTTATTTATGTTTTTCTGTAATGGGCCTTATTCTGGGCCCATCCTGTCTATATTAAGTTCTTTGTAATTTC